GTCAGAGTTCGCCTCTCATATTTCATACATATTATCAGGAGGGAACTGTCCCTGGCGAAGGACATCATGTTTGCTAAAGTGGAGGGTCGGTGAAGTAGAGGAAGACTTCCAACAAGATGGATTGACGCAGTGGCAGCAGCGATGGGCTCAACTGTAGCAACTATTGTGAGGATGGCATAAGACTGCGCAGTGTTCCGTTCTGTTGTGCGTAGGGTCACTATGAGTCATACTAACTTGACAGCACTTAACAGCAACAAAATGACTTAACACAATCATGGAAGAAAATATTTTTATTCTATTCTTCCGAAAAGAAAAACGGAGCTAGGAGATTTAAGTTACTTGCCTATGGCCTTATAGGAAATGGTAGAAATAGCATAGACATTCAGATTTCCTGGTTGTCTCCAAAGCCCATGTGTTTGCACTGTCTTTATGGGGTTTTTTGTTTGCCTCTTAAGAGATACATGACAGAATATAAGACTGAGGAAATAAGCTGAGAATTAATCCTCAAAGCAAGGCACATAACTTTTCTTTCTTTTAAAAGAATAAAATCTCCCACCAGAAGTTTCATTTTTAATTATTTTGTATTATGAAATATTTCAAAACTGAAGAAAATTTATACAAACATCCATACATCCACTACACAAACATAGTAATGTTAATATTTGCCCAATTTGCTTCAGCTACTTCTTCTATTAAATTAAATGAAGCCTCTCACATACTCCATCATTCAGTTTTAATTTTAAGGTTTTAAGTCCATATTTTAAAGTTCTTCCTCCTTAATGTTCCTCAAAATGCCTGGATTGTTCTTGGACTTTTACTCTTATACATGAATTTTAGAGCAAGTTCCACAAGTTCAAAAAGTTCACAGAAAAAATAGAATTGAAAGGTAATGGAATTTTCCCACAAATTTTTTGAAGCCCCTAGTACAGTCAGGATTTGGGTTGAAAATACATTGGATTTACAGATTAATTTGGAGACCATTGACTTTCTGATAGTATTGTCTTCCCAAATATGGATATAGTATAGTTCTCCATTTATGAAGACATTCTTTTATGTCCTCCAATGTAATGTTACAACTTTCTCAATACTTACTATATTTGTTACTTACCTGTATTATTCAGATGCTTAAACAACAGAGAATGTCTCATATGAAAGTCCAGAAGTTAAGTATCATAAGGCAGATATTGCAAGTGTCCCATTTTTTGAAACCCAAATTGCTTCTGCTTTACCAGTCCTAGATTATAACCATGGCTCTCCTGGAACATCAGCCAATTCATCCACATTATGAAAAGCAGGATGAAAGAAAGGACTATGAAATTTCTTATTTATCTCTGGCTGCTCTAATGGAAATACCACAAGTAAATAGATGACTTTAACAAACAGAAATGTATTTTCTCATAGTTTAAGAGGCTAGAAGTTTGAATTCAAAGTGCCAGTTCTAGGGGAAGGTGCTTTTTTCCTCTTTCTGTAGACTCTTGTCTTCTTTAAATATCCATGGGTCAAGTG